AGCGAGTGGGTGGTAGTAATATGCTGTTTTTCGGCCAGCTCTTTGAAGCAAGAGAAAATCATGGTTGGAAAGCAAAAAAAACGCTTGACAGGAAATGCTGCACTTTGCGTTTGAGATACGCTTAGAATTAACGGTTGTTGCTCTTGTTTCTTCTTTTTTGCTCCTGTCTATTCAATTATGGCATTTTTTGCTTTCGCAGCAAAGCAGTCATTAGTCGTTGCGGCACATGAAATTGTTGGTTCTGCAAGTACCGCTGTACTAAAGTTTTCGAGATGTTTTCTAAACTCGCTGTTTGAAGGCTATAATTCAATGCCCTGTCCTTAGTTACAAATGTTTGTCATTGAAAATTTTGAAGTTTAAAATTATAAGCCTCAGCAATTTTTCCACATTTATGAAAATTATAAAGCTCGCCAACTCGCTTATTACCATTCTTTACACTCGTTAAGCGGTTACGAACACAAATTTTAAAATGCTTAAATTTTACTTGTTTTGGAATGTCCTACTTTAAGTAAAAGAGAAGCAAATGTAAATAAGTATGTATTTCCTCGATAACGTGTAATTCGTATAAATGTACATATGTATACCGGTGCGTATACGCAACCATTCCTCTGGTACTAGCAAATGATCAGCAGGGCCGAAAAGTTTAAGCTTTTGCTTGGAATTGCTTATTTTGCTTATTCAGGCTTACCAAGCCTAATTTTAACGATAATGCTTATTTTGCTTATTTCAATGTATAAAGCGAAATACGGACCTTTTAATTTAACGGTCAAGAAATTAATTCGTGTGTGTGAATAGTAGTGTCCAAGAAGTTCTGACATCTGATATTTTGCAACCTGCTGTCTCACCTTTTCCTTCCGAATTAATGGCAAGGACATATATTTTTGTTGGAACCAAGGCTACCTTTTACTATTCACAAACAAACTTTTAACAAACCATTGTAGAAAGCGTTGCAAGTTTCTGAAGAACTTCGTACTGCTTAAGTAAATTTGGCTCAACAAATTTTTTTACCATTTTTTGGCGTTTTTTTTATTTGTCGAAATGTTTACAAATAATAACATAAGAACAGATTTGGTTTGTAATACATAAATTTTAAGATTAAAAACAATTTATCTTAAATGAGAACAAAGAATATTTAAAAAAAAAAAAAAATCAAAATGACCAGCGCAGATCCCTATTATTTGAGAATATCAAGCAACACTTGATAGTTCATTGTAATTTTTCAATCCTTGAAATAAACTGATTAAAAAACAGTAAACTGTACACCAGATTTTGTTGTTTTGCGAGCATATTTGCAAGCATGTTTACGAATGTTTTGATGCTTATATAAGCGCTTAAAAAGATTTTTTTCTTGCTTATTTTCTTCGGCCCTGATGACCAGTGTTGCCAGAAATTTTTCCTTGAAAATCTGCCTAGTTAAGATTAAATTTTCAAAAACCGAAAAATTTAAAAAAATTTAAATTAATTCTGTGAACGGATCGCTTTTTGAAGATATGAAGCTTAGATTTCGTTTATATCGCAAAGACATTTATTGAGTACATAAAGTTAAATAAACTATCCAAATCAGACAAGTTTTTACGAAAGGTACGATGAATGCCTTTCAAACATAACAATTGCAAAAACTTGCAAGAAAAAGTAGTAGTAAACATATTTGTGCATTATTTTTGTAAGTGAGTCATTTGTCCGTCGCAATGGCCGAGTGGAAAAAAAGCACTGGCGTGCCATTCAAGGGATCCGAAGTCAGGCTAAGATAGTAAAAAGTCTTTCGTAAGACAAATGAAAGACATATGGCAAGATACTTCGATACTTATTCTAGTACAAAAGTCTTAAAAAAAGCTCTCTCATTCACCACTTGTAGTGAAAAGCTATGTTGAGGGAAGGCAACGGTATATCATTAAGCTCAAATCGGTCCAACAGTCGCAATGGCCGAGTAAGCAAAGCACAGGTGTGTCATTCGAAAGATCTGAGTTCGAATCTCGAGCAGCGGATTTTTTTCTTTTTCTAATTTTTTTTAATTAAATCTCGTTAAATCTTCATATTGTATTGTTTTAAAGAGAAAAGTTTATATTTTTCAATTTCACTTTTTCTTTCTCAATTTAATTTTCTTATTTATTTTTTAATTTTAATAAACTTATTTCCTTCTTGAAATTAATTTTCTCTTCGATTTAAGTTTAATGTTTTTTTAATTTTTCGATTTTATTGCTTAAAAAAATAAAATGTGAATTTCATTTGATTTTTAGAAACTTGTGTTATTAGTTTTTCCTTTTCTTCGCTTTCTTTTAACTTTTAGATTTTGTTTTAAAAAGAAAAACTTGTTTTTTATTTCATTTAATTTTTAGGGACTTATGCTATTTTCTTTCGATTTAAGTTTTTTGTAATTTTTTAATTTAATTTTTCCTAAATTTTTAAATATTGTAAAAATAAATATATTAAAATTTAAGTACGATTTTCTTCTTTTTCTAATTTAATTTTTAAATTTTATAGCTCAAGAACAAACACACATTAATTTTAATTTTATTTTTGTTATTTTATGGCCTTGGCTTAACAAATGAAATAGTGGAAAAAAGCAACAAGAATTCACAAGGCAATCTTAGCACAGTGCGTAGGCAACTGGCTGAGTCAGTGGGATCGTCGGTTCGAATCCTACTGAAAGAAGTCTGATGAAATGTGGTGATTTCCGAAATTGCTATCACTTCTACCATTTTTTTCTCAAATTATTGTTGCTTTTCCACAATAAGTTTTTCATTAAAAACGGCCTCAAGCTCAATTAAAATTGTTGAATTTTAATTTTATTTAATTTTAAAAAAATATTTTTTATTTATTTTTATTTCAGCTTCAATTTTATTTTTTTTAGTTAATTTTCATTCATTTATTACTTTTGATGCATATGTTTCTTTGATTTGATTTAATAAAACACGCTTATTGCTTATATTTATTTCAGTTTCAATTTTTTTTTATTTATGTAACTTTCATTCATTTATTACTTTTGATGTATATGTTGCGTATTTGATTTTTGTTTATTTAAGTTTATTATTTTTTATAAAAGTCTGATGAAAATTTAACAGAATTTGAAGTTTGAAATGTGAATTTATATGTTGTTAGTTGTATAACCAGCTGGCTTTTACAAAAAAAATTATAAATATTAAATAAGCATAAGGCAAATAGTCAATAATGCTCTAAATATCACACTAATAATATTTTGTGGACAACTTAATATATTTTTTAATTTAACTTAATTTTTATAAATTTGTTCTGTTTTTCATTTTGTATATAGTTTTAGATATTATTGCTTTAAAAAAATATTTTTTAATCGTACTAAATTTTTACAAAAATTTATTTTTCTTACATTTTTAAATAATTATTAGTTCGTTTTTTAATTTGGTTCTTTTTTTTTAATTTTTTTGTTTTTATTATAAAAAGAAATTTTTTTAACTTCATTTAATTTTTAGGAATTCATTTATTTTTTTCTTATATTTAATTTTTTTTTAATTTTAAGATTATATTATTTTAAAAAGAAAAAAATTTTCATAAAATTGATTTAATTTTGTTTATTTTTTTTAATTAATTTTTTTCTTCTTTTTTTATAAAATTTTGTTTTAATTTTTAATTTGCATTATTTAAAAAAATATACATATTTGTATATATTTTAATTTCATTTAAATTTAGAAAAATTGTTGCTAAACAATAAATAAAAAAACTCTAAGGGCCGTTTGCACCATGTCTAGTTAACGCTAACTGGAGGTACATCCTTCAGTTAAGCACGTTAACTGCTTTATCGAACACATGTTATATGATGGGTGTCGATAACGTCGATAAAGATGTTTAACTGGGTGTTAGAATTAACTAGACATGGTGCAAACGGCCCTAAGACCACTACTTTTGTCTTTCGAAAGTCTGTAGCAAAGTGAATTCATACAAGATGGTGTTACTAGATCAGTTGATCTTGTGTGCATGTCCTCACGACTTAGAATGTCAAATTGAAATATTTTGTTTGCACTTCCATACACGATCTTACAGTTTTTGACAGTTCATGCCTCAAAATCAGAAGCAAAATATGTACATACATGTAAATTTTTATTTTTATTTTTTTATATTTTTTAGAATTGCCCTGTTAGGAATTATTCTTGTTAGCAAGTATTCTAAGCAAACACTTATTTTTCAATCAACTGGGACAGTGTTTGTATTCTTGCAATTTACTTCTTCAGCTAGGGGTACTTTCTCATTCCATAATTCAAATGTAAAGCCAGGACTTGTTTAAACTAGAATATCAAATATCATTTGCTATTAAAGCAAAGTTATGACAGCCTAAAAGGTCTCAAATGATGTGATGCAGCACACATGACATTTTAAAACAATTATCCAGAATAATGAATGAAATTTCTTGACGCCATCGTGCTAAGAACACACCGTTACTCCCAACAAGTAATACAATACGCGTCTGCGACTACGAAATTGCATCTGAGAAATATTGCGGCCTTCAAACGCACCACAGCAAACAGAAGAGGAGTTTAAACTAAAAATAATTGAAATGTTGAAAGTTCGGAATTACACAAAACCATTGTAAGAAAGAAATAAAGAAAAGTTGGAGAGGAAAGAGGTAATGAAAAATATGCTTTGTAATTAATTTGAATGTACGAGAAATTCGCACATCATCATTTCGATATTTATGTTGGCATAAACACTTCATTTGCATTTCTCATATATAAATTTCCTGTGTATATGTATGTGTATGTGTGTATGAGTGTGAATGCTTTGTGAAAAATATCGAATTTCCCACAATAAATCACAAAGCACATTTGCGCAACCAAGCAAAAGGCGGGTGGCCAGGCAGGGGCTGCTGAAGAAGGCAGTCGATCGAGCAGTGCCTGCTTCTGGGGCCAATGCATTGGAGCATTTCTGCTTTCCTTTCATTTCTCGATTTTTTCCAGCAGCATCAGTTTCAGTCACTGAAAAGAAAAATAATGTGTGAATTCTTTGGTTTCTCTTGTGCTATTTACAGAGTCGACCGACGACTACGACGACGTGTTGGGCCACTGCACCCGCTGTCTACAGCAAGAAGCCAACGAGCGAGCGAGCACCAGCCGCACAATTGAAGAAGACGCGCCACTAAAATCCATAAAGGCACAAGTGTTTTTTTCGGTGGGCGCAGCAAAGGGAGCGAGAAATTCGAGCAGCCGCAAAGTGTAGGGGACGAAGAGGCGCGTGAACAAACAAATAAAGTCGCAGTCAAAATAAAAATTCTTCATGAAGAAAAAAGTATTTATAAGCAAATAAATCGAATGGCGGAGCGCCTGCAGTCGCCGCAATCCGGGTAAACAAAGCACAAACTTCGACTTCACAGCTGGTTATTGCTGAATTTGATATTCTGACATTGGGAGCAGACGGCGCGAACTAGAGCCATTGCCGTTGCTTGTTGCTTGCTGTAAGCGTAAATGCGTGCGTGAGTGCGCGTGTACTCGAAAATTTGCTAACTCCTTTGCAGGCACTGCCACTTTGCATATGTAGGCGAGTGGGCTGTGGGCTGTGGGCCGCTGCAACCGCGAGCGTTTCGACAACGACGACGTTAATGATGCAAAGGCATATAAAATTCAACCAAAGCAATTTGTACTTGAAAATCGCGCGCGAGTAAAATCCGTGAAATTGAATTCGTGCCTATCAGTCGAAAGATGTTGAGAAGAAGAAGAAGAGATGCGCGTATATCCGCCGGTTAGTTCTCAGTTGCAAGTACATATATGTAATTATATAGTGAAAAATCTAACTTATTACATCGCGCGAGTTGTTAAAACGAATTGAAATTGTTTCGTGATTCGCTTAGTGATTATGTGCAGCCGCGCCAGCAACAACAAAAGCAATACTATTCGAGGTGATTACATAGAAAAGTAGTCCTACGTGCAATTATTAGCCATTGGTCGTGGCGGAAATTTAGAAGAAAACTAATTTTTTTTACTAATCGATCGGGCGCGCGTAACAAAATAAAAACGCGCGAAATAGAAAGAATTGAATTGGTAGCAGCGCATAATTGGCAAAAACGGCCGACCGGAAAGTTAAGAAGGCACCGAGGCGAGGCACAGGAAGAGCACAAGCAGAAGTAGCCCCAGCACGATGTTGGCCGGCATAAGGAAGCGTTTGGCGCGCAAGTAAGTACTAAAGCAGTTTTCACGTACCACCAACATAGAGACTTAATGAGATTTTTTGTGTGTTTATAATCGCATTAGGCACTCTGAGAAATCTATGATAGCAATGAGCAGGATTTGTATTTATTCATAAGAATAGTTTTTGGGTCTAAGTAGAGCTTTAAAATTATAAAATAATCTTCATTTCACATTTCACTACTGTTGAGAGAAAAACGATGGGCTTTCTGCAAAGTATATCCCACACATACAGTGTTACAAGAAATTTTTCGTGAAAAGTCAAATCTTCACAAATCGCAAAATATTAAAAAAAAACTTTACACAAATATCTTTTTTGAAGATTTTAATTTAAAAAAACTTGAATTTTTTTATAACGCAAAAACAAATATTAGGTACATAAAGTATAATACTTAGATAAACAAAAGCATGTACGATTTAACTAGATTTACCTGTATTTTTTTGAAAGTCTGGCAAACATAAGAATTGCAAAAAGATGCCACAAGAAGAAGCAGGTTTAGAGATTGATAAATATAAGTATATTTATTTACAGTTTATGGACAAAGGTTTCTTATAGGCTATTTACAAGTTAACATAATTAATAGCTAAGATACTGAAACATCTAAAATGAGGTATATAGAATATGTTAAAAAAACACTTTTCAAAGATGAAAAATCAAGTTGGATAGAACTCGAGATTAAATTAAATTCATTTAAGGCTCGAACAAGTGGAGTAGAAAGGTAAAGAACTACGAAGACTACCCTGAGGTATGTTAAAATTAATACCTTCTAAGAGAAATAAAAAGTCAATTCCATATGTAGGAATCGAATCTCAATGAACGTAAGGCATATATAAGAAAAACCTTTTGTTGCCGTGTAATCCTATTTATATAATTTTTATGACTTGGCCTTCAGATGAAAGCAGCATATTCCAAATTGGAACGAACAAAAGCCGAGTAAGATTTCGAAATAATATGGCTAAATTTCTCGAAATAATTACGCCAAGATCTTTAATATCGTCCAAAGTTTGTAACAAAGAATGAGAAATGTTATAAGACATCGGCAAGATAATATGAGTTTTCGTGTACGCAACTTTAAAGCACTTCTCGATGTTTCAGGAAAGCCGAGGATTTACGTACAATAGTTGTTAAGCGCATCGTTGGGGTTCCTAATTTTCGAAAATCCTTTTAAGTCATCGGCTCAAAGCAAAAATTTTGCAAATTTAAAGCAGCTTCCTATATCATTTATAAACAATACCAAAAGAAGCGGGCCCTTAGAGGAGGCATAGAAGGGTTCCTAAAAATGCCATTAACAGTTACTACACAATTTCTTTTAAATAAATAGGATTTAATCCAATCTAAAAAAAACACTGAATAAAAGCCCATACGAGCCAACTTATATATGTATCAATAAAGAATGCGAAACTTTGTCAAAAGCTCTTGAGAAATCAGTGTAGACGCAATCAACCTAAAGTCCAGCAAAAAAAGACGCAATACAATATTCGCTGTAAACTGCAAGATCCTAAAAAACGGTACGAAAGTGCAATTGGAAACTTATTTCATGTAGTTTTGAATACCGTAAGAAATATTCTCGTGCATAATATCCACCTGCTGTTAGTAGCTCCTGTAGCTATTTTTACTCAATTCAGAACAAGAAAGGAGATCGCCTTTAATCTTTTACCTGCTTTCTAATAATAATCCTGCCTATTATCGCTTTTTCGCGAACTCGTCTGCTTCTTCATTTGCCATAATAGCACTGTGTTCCAACGAGATTGAACAACATATTTGCATCGAACCATCCAATGCTTCTGGTCATTTCTGTCGGAAAAGTCAATTTCGAAGTTGCGTTCAAGGCCAACATCCGTGATCTGATAATAGCAACTCTACGCACTACTACTGGATACATGATCTCTGCCTGGATACCTATAGGTGGAATGCCCAGAGGTGTCCTTTACGCTGCTTGAAGTCTCGAGCGATTTTTTTCAAATTTTTTATACCGGATTTTTACAATCTCCTCACCTAGTTAATTTATATACCACAATCTAAATATTTACTTTATTGAAAAATTAATACGCTAACGAAATCCCATACAAACCTATTCCTCCCTACTGCTCCTATGTTTCTCAACCAATTTGAATGATTCGTCTTTTGTTCGAAAGGTATTGCAAAGAGGAGGTGCGCATTTTATTTGTTTTTTCAGTAGGTGGAGTAGGAGTGGAGTTATTCGGAAAAACTTCATTTATGGTCTGATTTGCTTCAAATTCAAAATACATATTACTGACATCAATAGAAATACACCTGCAAAAAATGGGCCCGATAGGTGGCCGAGTGGTATTTCAAAGAGGGGTGCGCATTTTGTTTGTTTTTTCCGGTAGGTACCTGCTTTGGTTTGACCATCTATGAATTTTTAAATTATTTAACAGAATGTATATTACTCCACCAAACAATATATGTAAGTGAGCTTGACGATTAACAGGAGCTGATGGACCTAAAAAACTTCCCAGGCAAAATGAAAAAGTGTGTGAAAAAAGTGAAGTGGTCGAATTTCGACAACGGGGCGATACTAGTTTTTATTAATTTTATACCTGGATACTGAAAAATCGTCCACTGCAAAAAGTTACTTAACAAATAAAAGAAAGCCGATCGAAAACTTTACACTGTGGTTGTTGCTGTTGTAGCACATAGGGGTGAGAGTTTACGAAGGTTTTGATTGATTCTATAATAGCCAATATTTGTAGCGTCGGGCTAATTAATCGGTTGGGGTATTCTTATTCCCAAGACAGTCTATCCTAATCGAATAATCGAACACCCCAATATAAATAATTGTCGTTGTAACCTTTGCAAGTTGATCAGATGGCAACTCTTCTGCAATTTAAGATTTTCGTCATTGATCGATGGAGTTGGATAGTCCATCTCATATCGCTACGTAAGGAGTGCTACTTCACTTCTAGATGGGTTAACCCAGACAATGTTAATTTCTGCCCACGTTGCTAATTGATCATATAACTAGATAAATGCCCCTACTACCAAAATTACTAGGTAATCTGTGTCCGAAGCAGCCCTGGAAATGGCTTTCGAAGCAATTCGAAACAGAAATTCGTTTAGCACAAAGTTCCATAACAGATTAGTTGAAACCTCGTCTTGAAGAGACTTCGTACAGCCGTTTTCCTTGTCTCATTCATTTTACGGGAGCCACTAAAACTCTTTCTAGGCAATATATTGTCGATCCAAAGCATAACCAACGAATCCTATGAGTGAAATGAATGGACTGCAAATTAGCATTATTAAAACCATCTTTAACATCTAGAAGGGCTACATACCAAATTCTTCATCATGTAGCGCTTATCTTATAGCGTTTTCTTGCCACATGATATATGTTTCACAGTAATTTTAATCGGTTTTACACTTTGTCCAAGTTCTTCATGGAATAAATATCACCTTTGCACAACGATAATGATATACCGCTAAGTGCTGCGCAATACTTGCTTTACATAAATATCCTTCTGTCGGAAGGAGTTTGTGCCTCATATCCCGTTTTTGAAATTTGATTCAGCCAAGTGGTGAATGGTCTTTAAAGGGATCAGATATGGTTCCTTGTTGTGCCTTCTTGGCCTTAGCTGCTCTATCCTATTCCTAAATATTTCTTTATTGGGGTGTCTGCAGAGTTCTCGAGGCTCTTTCTTGGCTCACCTTCGGCACTCTCTAACTGTTGATTTAACTTCGGCTACTTCTCAATAAAGGTTCACATGTTTTCATCCTTTTATTTGTTCCTTTTTTAAAGATATAAATATTAGCTTCATGTTTGGATAATACTCTTGAAATGATTTACATAACAAAGAACCCTCACCTACCATTACTGACGTAATAGTATTTTTTTTTTAAAAGCCGAGTTAACGAATACTGTCATATTGATCTGTTTAAAAGTGGGACTATTTCACTCTTTGTGACTAGAGATTATGAAAAACTACAAACAACTTGCGAATTGATATTAAATTGCTTAAACTACGTAAGTTACTTAATATGTCCATACGTACATTTTCGAAACCTTTCAAAGCCAAAGAAACTCAAACAAATAAAAGGCAAAAATATACTCAATTGGGGTATTCACGACGGTGTCGTAAGTGTCGTATTGATGTATGTCGTAAATTATATAAGCTGAAATAAATGTTTAGAGAGTGAAAATTCATAATATGAAATTTATGGTATCTTGCACAACGATTCGGCACCTTTGTGAATACCCCAAATGTATCATTTCTTCACCCTGCCTGATTTTTAAATTCATACAATTCATACAATTCCACTTATAACATGCCTATTGATAACCAAACAACGCCTAATGAAGCTCATTAAAATTTGTATGGAATAAATTTGGCAAAAAAAAACCCACAGACGGAAAAACTATTTAAATGCATTAAATAGCTGATAGCCGCTTTGCACGCACGACAATACGCTTAATTAACAGAAACTAGTTCCCAAATAGGCCTGAAACTACGTCAAATATATATATGTATGTAGATATGTGGATAGTATGCATGTATGTATGGGCTAAATTAAACAAGTTGGCAAACACAATTTAGTGGCAGCTGTTTCGAAGCCAAGCCAAAAACCCGCAAAGAGGTGAGTTGCGTGCGGAATGTTATCTTTTATTTTAACAACAAAATGCGGCTTTTAATAAAACTAAAATTTATGCTTGTATGTATGTATATATTCGTAAATGGTTGTATGTTATAATCTGCATAAATTGTATGTACATACATATTCATGAGAAAGAGGTCAATAAAATTAGTAGCTGATAAAATTAAAGGTTATTATAGTGGTAAGCGGTTTTCAATGTCAAAATCTGCAAGCTGGTGTGAGGCGTTTCATGGTAAAGAGGAGGAGGCGAACTTGCCAAACTTATTTTTAGTTTTCTTAATTCTTTTATAAAGAAAATTACATATACATAAAGTTGTAGTTTGGATCTACATACTTGCACGTGCTAGTTTGTACACATATGTATGTATGTATAAGT